AATAGACAGATCCGTGAAATGGAATATAAAGAAAGCCCAGAAAATAGGCAGAACTGCTTGGAGAATTTGTGTCTGATAAAGGTGACATCTGCAACCAGTTGACAAAATGGACTATTCAGTAAGTGGCATTGGGACAACTGGGCAATCATCTGGAAACAGTTGAATTGATACTATATACTTAAATTCCAAATGACTCAAAGATTTGGGAGTGTGGTGACTCTGTAGAAGTACTGGACTATGAACCACAAAGTCTGCAGTTCAAGCCCACCAGTTTTCTGCTCCTGCAAAGACTTGTTGTATTGTTAAGTGCCGTTGAGTTGGTTCCGACACATAGCGACACTAAAGGGATTCCGAGGAGTGGCTAGTGAATTAGAACCGCTGACCTTTCCATTCAAACTGACCTTGTGGTCTAGTGCTCATCCTATAGCACCACACCAGGACAGCCTCAGAAACCCTATATAGGGTTGCTAAGAGTTGGAATCAACTCAATGGCACCTAATAACAACATCAACAAAGATTAAAACTGAAAAAGTAAGTCCTAAAATGGGAAAATCTTTTTGACTCACAATCCATGAGCATAAGACAATTGTTTTTTATACAGAAGTGTTCTATTGCCGGCATTGTCTGCTAATGATGGTACTTAATAAGTGAAATTTTCTGAAAAACTAAGAAACAAATTTTTAATGTCAGTTGTTTTAGTTAGAGACATTTTAATCTTATTCTCAGTTTCAAAACCAATATGTTGAAATCACCAGAAGTTTTGTAAAATATAGACTGTTCAAACTTGTTGTTGTTAAGTGCTGTTGAGTCATTTCCAACTCATAGTGACCCTGTAACACGTCCCTCCAAGGAGCGGCTGGTGAGTTTGAACCACCAACCTTGAGGTTCTAACTGACCTCATGGTCCAGTGTTGCTCCTACAGCATCACACCAGGGCTCCCAATGTAAAGTAACCATCCACTTGAAAAATAAAGCCTCTGGCAATGTATGTATTTGGGACTTGTATCTTACCACCATTTTTAACATTCTTTGTGATTGGTTTATAGTATTATAATTTACATTTTAATTTATTCTTATAAGTAATAATTTAAACTACCCCACATATTTCCGTAGTGAAGAGAAGGTTTCAGAGGAAACATGGAAAAGAGGGCATGTCTCTGAAAAGATTCATTCCTGATCATATAGGCAGGATTGTTTCATTGATAGAAATTGTTGACTAGATAGAAAACAGAAAATAACTTGTATATTAACATGGAGAGATGTTGCATGTATGTTTTCTTTTGAAGTGCAAGTATGACTTTTGCTGGATTTGCCTAGAAGAATGGAAAAAACACAGCTCCTCCACCGGAGGTTATTACAGGTGTACTCGATATGAAGTGATTCAGCATGTGGAGGAGCAATCTAAGGAAATGACTGTAGAGGTAAAGAGAGCTGCTGAGGCCGAGACCCCTGTCTGAATCACTTAATGCCTTGAAAGTATTTTGCATGAATACTTTTCCTATCTTCATCTCAATGAGGCGTTAAATTGAATACATGTTAGAGTAGCTTTAATTTAAATAAAACAGCTCTATAAACTTAAAGAACTAATTTTTTTTTTAATCCTTGATTTATTTTGGTGAAGCTAAGAAAAGTTTTATATACCCCAGCCTTCCTCTGTAATGACTTAAAATAATTTTAATAGCTAGTCATCTATGTAAGAGTCATTCATGGATTTTTGTTTCTTAGGCTGAGAAAAAACATAAACGATTTCAGGAACTTGACAGATTTATGCACTACTATACAAGATTTAAAAACCATGAGCACAGCTATCAGGTATGTCACAAAGCATTTCATATTAACTGAATTATACTGGTGTCAACCAACCCAGAATGATTTAAAGTATTTATTTCTGATCCTTCAGTTAGAACAACGCCTTCTTAAAACGGCCAAAGAAAAGATGGAGCAGTTGAGTAGAGCTCTCAAAGAAAGTAAGTTATAAGTGGTATGTCTGGTAATGAATTTAAAATATTCTTCCATGCTTATATCACTTTACTGGTTAAGAGGTTAAGCCCATTAAAGGAATGCCTTATCCCCATCAGCCTAATCTAGAAATGTCTGAGCTTTCTGAAACCTTCAGTGCAGTTTAGCATCGGAGACCACCATGATTAGATTTTCCACCTGGTTTACCTAGCATAAGGAGCCCTATTGGCACAATGGTTAAATGTTTGACTGCTAACCTAAAGGTTGCTGGTTCAAGCCCACCAGCTGCTCCACAGGAGAAAGGTGTAGCAATCTGCTTCTGTAAAGATTTCCATGGTGACCAGTCCTACTCTGCCCTATCAAGTTGCTGAGTTGAAATCAACTTGATGCAACCGAGTTTTTTTTTTTTGGTTTAACCTAGCCTACTCCTCTAGGTGAGCCCTTCAGTGTTACCACATGAACATACATCATGACTCCTTATTCTGTACCCATTACTATTGTTCTACAATGTTGGAAAAGTAAATGGGTCCTCAAGGACATTGCTGACCTAACCAAAGGAGCAAGATACACATGCCACCAATTCTTAGAAAATTTAGCAGAATACCTAGTGAAATGGAAGTCCTGTACAACTTTGGAAGAAATCTCACTGGTAAATGATGGATGGTTTGGGGTCAAAAAGCGAAGATCTGAGAAGACTAACTTATGGCTCCTAAGTTGTAAGATCTAAAGACCATTCCTTAAAATGGATTAAGCATTGGTTGTATCATTATGATATAATATCCTACAGTGATGACACAGTGCAAATTCCAATGTTTGTTTTAAAGAGTCACATTTTAAAAATTATCATAGCATATAATTAAAAGGTGTGTTTTATGTCTAAAAATATGATCAGTTATACTGGTGTTTGTTCCCTATATAAACTGAGTGTTAACACCCTCTTCATGACAGTAATTCCCTAATTAAGGCAGTAACCAGAGTTAAATAAAATCAGAAAAAGTCTCAACAGCATCTTTGTGCCTCCTTGTTAATTATTACTAATTAGACTTCATTATTATCATAACTATATCCTACTCTTGAAGTTCTATCCACAGTAAAAATTGAAAGGGAAACAAACCAGCTCCCTTTTTCTGTTTTGTCTTTTTCTAAGTAATATGTCCTTAGTGCTGAAAGTGGTACCTAGCACATAGTAATCACTCGGCAAAGAGTTACAGATGTGTATTGCTGCTTCTGTCCAACATTCTGGGGATTTAGACCACATAGTAAGACGTGGAAAAGAATGGAAAGATATAAGGACTGAAACAGAAGAAATAAAACATTACACATTTGTCACATATCTTATAATGGGTGGAAATTGTTTTTTCATCTTTTATATCTTCTTAGTGCAAATACCTACCCTAGTGTATGCTGAAATTTTACCGTGGTCTGTATATCAGTGTGTATATATATGCAGTGTCTTTTGACAAGCATACTGAATAATCTGATTTTCAACCATACTCAGGCATTGAGATTCTCATACTTTCTAGTACTTTGCAGTTAAGGAAAAAGCTGGAGTGTTACAGTAATATTTTGGGATCAGTCTCAGACATTAAAGCAATTTCTCTCTCCCTCTTCATCATTTTTCCTTTCTCTTTTTCTCTGTCTCTTTCTCTGAAGTTATTATATTAGCCAGCAGTACTTATCCAGTTGTTTCCCAAAAGGCTTCTTTTTCTTACAGTGTTGTTTTGGCAGAGGCTTAATTATAATCAGACTTTTATTCTTAGTGAGAAGTTTATCAAGGTGCTTATTAGAATTCTTAAGATGTAAATCCCCTTAGGCATAACCTGAAGCAAGATTTGTTTACAAGCAGGGTGAAAAATCCTGGATGAGGTAGCTCATCCTTCATGGCTCCATCAGTACTCTGGGGCCATGGGGGGGTGGGGGGAGGTGTTTCATTTATAAAGCAGACATGTCATGTATGAGTGTTTTATATAGGTTTTTAGTCTAGTTTAAATAGTATTATCATATAGCTACTTCAAACAGTTTCTTCTTAGGGATCCTCCTTCTTGGTTTTTTATTCTTCTTTAAGAACACATAGTTGTTCAATTAATTTGATACTGTGCTTACAAAACAAAATCTCACTATGCCTGAATTGCTTTATAGCTGAAGGAGGCTGTCCAGATACCACTTTCATTGAAGATGCAGTTCACGTGCTATTAAAAACTCGACGCATTCTCAAGTGTTCTTATCCGTATGGATTTTTCTTAGAACCTAAAAGCACAAAGAAAGAAATATTTGAACTCATGCAAGTAAGATACCTTTCTTAAAAAATAAATTTAAATCATAGTTATTATTTTCTCCCTTTTTAATCAATTAAGTTTTCTCTTATTTGGATGTGATTAGTAAACAATTTTGTTTTCATTTTTCTAATGTTTTTTAAATAAAGAAGTTACCAGAGTAATAATCTGAAATTTTCTATATGTCTAAATATATCATATCACTCTGTAGGTCTGAATAAGTTTTGAGTTATACAAACACTTCCCACAGCACTTATTTCTTAGTTTTAAATGGTAGAGATAGATATCTGGCCTATTTTTGATTATGCAGTTAGGAATTTCATCTTCAAAGATTAAACAAACCATATTAATTCCAAGATGGGAAAGTGGCAATTTACCAGTTGATTTTTGTAAGTACTATTCCTAGAAGTTACAGTATTTAACAACAAAAACACCTAAGCCATCTGACACCGCTAGAACTAACCTACTTTCTTGTGCATTCCTCGGTTTTGAAGCCACCAAGCTTTATTAGCTGGCTACAGTTCTCATGTCATTTCTCAGAACTGCCCTCTGTTAATATAAAGCCTATGGTTTTTTTTTTTCAAGGCTCAATATTCATTTCCAGCATAAAGTCTTCCAGACCTAACCTTAAATCCCAGTGGTCTTGTCCTGCTTCAGATTCATTCAGCATCTACCTATAGTCTGCACCACACCATTAGGCATTTGCTCATATAATGCTTTGAAATGTTAAGAGTATTTAGTGTCTATAAATCTTTTCTGCTGTGTTCACCATTTCTTTTATAAGCCATACCAGCTGCATTGCTATAATGCCTATCAGGTGATTTCTGTTTTCCTGAATTTAAGATGACTTCACATATGACTCTTCTTTCTCTTTCACAACCTGGAAAAAATGTACAGAACAAGAAATGTATATTAAATAAGAAGTCATCTCAAAATTTGGGTTAATTTCTAACATCAAAAGAGTACAATTTACCTTAGAAACCATAGACTCTTGGTTTACTATTAACTAACCCGCTCAGCTGTGATCTTTCTTTTCTTCTGTCGTTTTATCATAGACAGACCTAGAAATGGTCACTGAAGACCTTGCTCAAAAAGTCAATAGGCCTTACCTTCGCACACCTCGCCACAAGATCATCAAGGCAGCTTGCCTTGTGCAGCAGAAGAGGCAAGAGTTCCTGGCATCCGTGGCTCGGGGAGTTGCCCCTGCAGATTCACCAGAAGCTCCAAGGCGCAGGTAAAAAGATGCGCCTATGGAGTTTGTCCTCGCTCCAGCCACAAGAGCTAGCAATTTGATTTTTACCCAACTAGCATTCACATTCCTGGAAGTTACTTGCACCCAGGAGACGGATAACTGATAAACATTATTTACTTCTTTTTTATCATTTCCTCAGTACTATTTCTATTTTTTCGTATTAATTTTTGTTTGCCATTTTATAATTCCTCAGACTCAATCAGGCTAGATTGACTTCATGCTTCAGGTGAACTCAGGGTAGTATTCTAATGCATCAGTTTAAATATGTAGTATCTGTAGTGACGTGGTAGGTACAAGCATCTTGTGATAGAGAATTTGAAAACCTTGGCAACTTATTATGGTCATAGTTACATAGTTGTGGTAAGAGGTTGTGAAGAAATTGAAAATCTGACATAAGTAAAGTTGTATAAGTGTTTTAAATTCATCCATTGAAGGACATTTGAGGTTTGATTGTTTTTATTTCAGATACTTTATCCTGTAGTTATAAATTGAAGCATATTTTTAAATTCATAGTAAGGGTATTAGAATAGAAATTTCTTTGACCAATTTTTACATAAATCAATACTTTTAAAAATGTAAAAATAATAAAATACTGTGTTTAGCATGGTGATTTTCATTTTTTTCCACCATTATATACACACATAAAGCAATTTAGGATTTTAAAGATATAACAAAATTATCCTCTTAATAGTTGATGTACTTTGTTTAAGCAAGTTCCAAGCAGAGGAGTTGAAAGTAATGTTCAAAGGGCAAGAGTCTGATTGTTTGTACTTTGTAGTACTGATAATAAATCAAATGGTATGTCTAATTTCTTTGTAGCTTTGCTGGTGGAACATGGGATTGGGAATATTTAGGATTTGCATCACCCGAGGTAATTGTTTTGTGGGCTTTTTTTTTTATTATTATTGTATTCTTCTTTAGTGAAATCTTGTTTGCATTTGCACCTCGTGATGCTTTCTCATTCTTTTGTAACAAAAGCAACTTGGCAGAGCCTGCATGTAGCTATTTATGGTATTAGATTATGATCACATTATTAAATGCTTCCCCTTCATATTGTTTTAAATTACTGAACAGTCAGAATTACAACAAATTTACAGTGCATCGTTTTGGAAAATATATTCTAATTTGTCAATAGAGATGTAAATTATATTTAACAGAATTATGTTTCTAGTTGTAATTTTATTTCAGTTCGAATTTAACTAAACAACAATTTTTTTTTTTTAAGTTACTCTAACAAACATAAGAGCATTGATTAATAACCATTTAAGGTGGAAACTTGACATTAATAATGTTTATGCACAAAGAAATCCTTTTCCTAGTTGCTTTCTGCTTTCCTTTCAGACTTTCACACTATTCTTATTTGGTATTTTTGTTATTGATATGCCATTTGAAATACAAAGGGTCTGAAATATAAATACTGCAATAGTAATTGCTACAAATAAAAATAAGATAGAGTGAAAATCTTAATCACTTTATTCTTTTTCCAGATTTAAATTGCCACTGTCACCATTGAATCTGATTTTAAATGGCTTTAGCAGTTCTGTCTACGCCTTTGATTTTTATAAGACAAACCATTCAATACTTAAAATCTTTTAGTTTAATTCTAAGAAACGGGCAGGACAAATGATGAAACCTTTATTTATCACTTATAGCCCATGTGTTAGCTGCAACTGAAAGACAGTGAAATTGATTCTTAACCAGAAGTGACTGTGGCTTATTTAAATCAGTTCTTGTCTCTTTTCAGCTGCTAAGGATACTAGCAATCACTTTGTGGCCTTTTGTATTGGTAGATACATCTGAGAAAATAACGAGCTTCGATATGGAAATTTTCTCTAAGTAAATTATAAGAAATTTTAACATATTGGTGAAATCCTAATTGTAAAACAAGTTACGAACCTTTTTCTTTATCTAATCCAATACTAATCAATTGTACTTTACAATGCAGTTACAGCTTTGGGGATATTTTGATAAATCACTGCCTAAAAAGAGAAATAAACACGCTTCAATGATCTGAAAAAAAAACAACCAACTACAAATTTCAGTATTTCTCAGTAAAAACACAGTTCAGTAAAAACCAAAGCTACCCTTGATGTGCTCATAGTCATGCAGTTAGTACCATCTTGGCACACTGTGAAGCTCCAACAGTGACTTCAGGGGTGCTGATTTGGGAGCCTTGTGTATTTGAGGGGCTGTAATTATGACTGTCACAGATTCATTTTGTGAAATAGAATTTACTACCTCACATGTGAATATTTATATATAAAATTACTGAGCTTTTTTTGTTGTTGTTTAGAGATTGAGAATTGTAAAAGTAGAAGCAATATTTCCTTGTTAAATTTATTTTGTTGTAAATTGATTAATTTTACAAGAATTTAATTCATTTTTACATTTCTATTTAAAAGTCTTTGACACGTTGAAACATCAAACTTTTATGTAACCATTATTGCAAATCTAAGGGATTAGTTCACAGTGTGAATTTTTCAAATTCTGTAAGTATTTAATTATCATATAGCTGATAAATTTTATTTTTTAATTTTATTTTTCAAATTAATGTCAACTCAAATAGACTTTTAAGTTGAATTTGTATTTTTTTCAGTAAAGTTGAATCCATCTTTTTTTTGGTAAATTAAATATCAGTACTAAACACAAAAAGGAGCTCTGGTAGCGTAATGGTTATGAATTGGGCTGTTAATCTCATGGTCAGCAGTTCGAAACTACCAGCTGTTCCGCAGGAGAAAGCTGAGGCTTTCTGCTCCTGTAAAGATTTACAGCCTCAGAAACCCTGTACAGGGTCACTATGAGTCGGTACTGACTGCACAGCACATAACAACAACAATCAAACACAAATATCAAAATATTTTCTTTTATAGGCAGTGGGGCCCAGTGGGAAAAGCATCATTTTAAAGTCTGGAGGATAACTGGAGTCACATTCTAGGTCTGTGACTTTCAGACCTTTAAGTATGGTTCTTCCTTAATTTCCCATCTTTAAAATGTGGAAGGTAATACCTACCCCACATTAAGTTTGATTAAAGCATCTCATTAGGTCCCTGAACAATACTGGTGTTCAGTTTGGCACTGTAAGATAAGCACTGGACTGCTAATCACAAGGTTGTCAGTTCAAACCCCCAGTCATCCCTAGGAAATCCTATAGAGGGTCACTATGAGTCAGAACCAACTGGATGGCACTTAGCAACAACATTACTACATAGGCTAAAAAAGTCCTAGAAACTTTTTCTCCTACAAATCCTAGAGCTTTTCAATCTTCTTTGTAGGCTTAACATTCTGAAACTAACTTGGAATACCCAAGTAAACCTTTTCACATGACTACTTGAATATCTTAGGAGTCTTTGGACATTTTCAGTAAATTTAATTTTATGGGAACTGTTTTTATGCCTATTGCATCATGAGGGAATTCCATTTGAGTTTTCTATCAGAATAATTAGAAATATAGTATGTTTCTTTAATAATTATTCTTAAACCATATAGGTTTTTTTTTAATTGGAAATATGTATATATTTAATGGCCAGTGTTAGCTTATTGATCCAGAATAAAATTTGTACTATCATCAAATCTAAGAACCTTGGTGACACCGTGATTAAAACACTAAGCTGTTAACAGGAAGGTCGGTGGTTCAAACCCACTAACCACTCTGTGGGAAGAAGATCTGGCAGTCTGTTTCCCTAAAGATTTACAGCCTTAGAAATCCTAAGTTCTACTTTGTCCTATAAGGCTGCTATTAGTTGGGAATTGACTTACAGCCATTGGCATTATCAAGTCCACAAAGTAAACAGTTTCTTCCTATATAAATTTTGAATCAAGGTAAAATTTCTATGCCATTTTTATCTAAGAAATGTGGTGGTCTCAGTGGTCCAGTGATCTGTGGTGACACCTACTGCACATCATCCAGTTGGAGATATTGAGCCTCCAGGACAAGAAGAAGGAATTTTTTAAGACCCTAAAGAATGCCCTGGGGTATTTGAGTGTCTTTCTAATCTAGTAGAATGGTTAGTTGGTTTCTACCTGGAAGGATGCTTCCCACCTTGTATTAGAATCTAACTGCTTAACTGTTAGACTATAACTGCTAATCTGACTGCTTGTAAATTTAACCAGAGTGGTATGATATAAAAGTTTTGTCATGTAATGTTGTTTTATTTATTCCTAGTACTCTCATAACATGTTGTTGTTAAGTGCTCTCAAGTTGGTTCCGACTCATAGCGACCCTCTTTAGGGTTTCTGAGGAACAGCTGGTAGGTTTGGATTTCCATCTTTGTGGTTTTCAGACCAGTGCTGATCCAACAGGAGTCAAGCATATTGAATATTCTTTAATATTCTTAGGGTAGGCACTGAACTATTAACCTCAAGATCTGCAGTTCAAATCCACCAGCCACTCCACAGGAGAAAGATAAAGACTTTCTGCTCCTATTGAGATTTAACACCTTTGGAAACCTGATATAGGGTCACTGTGAGTTGGAATTAACTCAGTGATAGTGGCATTTGGGATTATAGAGTGACTAAGATAATCATAAACCAAGTATTTTAGAGTTTATCACAGAGAGACTCTAGAACAGTTCGCAGAATCACCCTTTTGATGCTGGTGCCAAACAGAGCCTCTCTTCTTTTCCTTTTTCTTGTGTCACTAAAATCTGGAAATATACATTTGTCCCAGGCTGTAGCCTATGATAATAGTAGGCCCCCTTTAAACCATTATTGCAAATGTAAAATAGACTCATGGACATCTGCCACAATTTGTGTTCTTCCCATATGCTGAACATTAAACACTTCGCCTGCAGGTGTTGTCAGTCACCCCACATGTTACCTAATATAGAAAGGAACCAAGTAATGTCTTATTTTAAAGGTAAACTAGTCCTTAACACTGTGTATTCTTTTATTTGTTATTTGTTCTACATAGATCACGGTCACTTTTTCAAAACCACACCTCCCAAAACAGTCTAATTTATACTAATAAAATGATTACAGTACCAGTGTCCCCACTTTTTGTTAGGTTAGCATTATACCACTTTACTTTTAATATAAACAGTCTAATTTATATTAATAAAATGATTAGTTACAATACCAGTGTCCCCCACTTTTTGTTAAATTAGCGTTACACCAGTTCACTTTTATGAAGATCTACCATGACACCTGTTTTCACTAACCGAAAGAAACCCTTAGAGGATTTTAATTTTTATGAATCGAGGCAAAAAGCAAAACTAGGGTTCAGAGTTTGTTTTTCAGGGAGCCATTGAGGAGCTGCACATGCCCCAGTAGCCAGAGTGCCTTCGCCAGCGCCTTCCCCATCAGCTAGATTCAGGTTTCAGCATCCACCTGCCATGACTTTGAACTATGCCTATGAATACTGCTAATGTCATATTAGGGTTTATGTGTTATTTGGTATTCTTTGATAGATTATTTTCTGGGTCTGGGAGCACTTAAGATTTTTCCCATATAAAGTAGTGATACTTGCTTCTCCACTTTAAAACCATTTCAATGTACAAAAGCCTTCATAGGAACTCTCTACTTTCAGATAGCACAGGAAACCTGTATTAGATATGAAATAAGACTTAGTGATGACCTAGCATTGCAAGTATTCCCAATGTATGTAAGCATTTGTAATGTCTATTTGATTGTTTTCTTTCTCCTTTCTATACTTTCTGTTTCCGTAGCATGGCATATGTGATTTTATAATAAGTGTATAAAATCACACATTTTTTTCCTGGAAAAAAGTGTAGTTTTTGTTTTATTTGCATTGACAAACTTGCATGCTCTCCTGTATTTTATAACCTTTGGTTTATGCAGGAATATGCTGAATTTCAGTACCGGAGGAGGCACAGGCAGCAGCGCCGCCGTGGAGATGTGCACAGTCTGCTCAGCAGTCCGCCCGATGCCGAGGAACCAAGCGAGAGCACTCTAGGTACGCTCCTGGGTGCCTGCATTGATTCTCAAAACGGACAAGTCAAATGTTTGTGTAAGAATTTGTAATTGAGATAACCAGCAACTATTCCAGTGCTTCCCTTATCACAGGACACAGAAAAACAGGGAAGTTAAGAACTCAGGCTGTGGAACCAGGCAGAAATGGGCTCCTAATCCCATTTCTGCTTCCTAGTAGCTGTGTGACCACAGTCAAGCCCCATCACCTCGAAAGTGCTGCTTTGCAAGCTTTCTGTGAGGCTTCAGTGAGATAATGCATGAAAAACTCTTACTGTAATACGTAGCACCTAGTGAACACTGGGTAAGCTGTAGCTGTTAATACTGTTACGGTATGCAGGGCATCTTTTTTTCCCCTTAGCTTCATTTCTCCTAGAAACATTATTTTGAAAAGGAAACTTCTAGTACCCGAGATAAATGATTTGAAGTATTCAGTATTTAAGTGTTAAATTGTTTATTGGAAACCTACAAGTTATAATGTCAGGAGATCATTTTCAACATCAATGGGACTAAAAATTTGCTCTTCAGGCCACTGTAATTCCCAAATTTTGGGGTTTTAAGAAATCTGAAAAGATAAATGCCTTGTTATTGCTGAAGGAAAAACAAAAGGAATGAATAGTAGCACTCACATTTATAAATAGAATTACACCTCCTGCCAGCAAAAATGTAAAAATATGTCAAGGATTAGAGATGACAGTATTAGGTATACATTGTTGTTACTGTTGTTGTTAAGCTCCGACAAGTCAGTTCTGACTCATAATGACCCTATACAGGGTTTCCAAGGAGTGTCTGGTGGGTTTGAACCACCAACTTTATGGTTAGCAGTTCAGTACTTATCCTGCAGCACCACACCAGGACTCCTTAGGTATACGAGGGGGCTTCAGGCAGTTTGAGGAAAAATTCCTTTGTCTTTTCATCCCATTTTACTTGAGAGCTTAAGTGAATACGGGTTTCCACCAGAGCTTAAAGAGAAAGAAATCAACAAATTAAATAAAAAGACCTATGGAAAGAAAGGACTAAACCTTGTCACTAAATTGCATTTGATATCAATTACTTTGACACAGATACCCCAGAGGGTGGCAGTGGCCGCAGGCCCAGCGCCTCCGTGGTAAGTTCTGCGTCCATGAGCATGCTGCGTGACTACGCCCCTGCCAGTCGCTCGGAAAACCAGGACTCTCTCCAGGTAGCCTTCCTGGACAACCTCGCTGCTCTGTGTTTCTGCTCATTCTTTGTTTAGCCTGGTTTCCTATTTTCACTTTGATGGCTTTTTTTTTTTTTTTCCATACTAGAATCTTTGCTTCAAAAATAGATCAGAGAAAAAGATGCCTATGAGTTTTCCTTTCCATTAGCACAGACAAGAAAAAAATGATAAAATTTGAGAGAAAGATAATTCTTCTGTATAAAAAGAAGTAATATTAATTAATACAGTGAATTCTGTGCAAGCCAGAACTCGAATGAGGCCGCCTTGTTTTTCCCCATTGGAAAGTTTTCTACCACTTTTGTTTTCTTCATTTTAGTGGGAAATATTTGAGGTTTCCACCTTACACAGATTGCATCTTTTACAGGTTTTACTGTTTGGTTAAAAAGAATTGTGGTGAACCTCATTGGATTAAATCAGTTTTCTTTTAATTAAACTCTAAAGTGGCTTTGCTTTCTGTTGCCTCAGGCTCTGAGTTCCTTGGATGAAGATGATCCCAATATACTTCTCGCAATACAATTATCGCTGCAAGAGTCTGGGCTGGCCATTGATGAAGAAACTAGAGACTTCCTCAATAATGAAGCATCCTTAGGAGCGATAGGCACTTCTTTACCATCCAGGTTGGACTCAGTCCCTAGGAATACAGATAGTCCTCGGACTGCATTGAGCAGCTCTGAGCTGTTGGAACTTGGTGACAGCCTCATGAGATTAGGAGCAGAAAGTGACCCGTTTTCAACTGACACCCTTAGTTCACACCCTCTCAGTGAGGCAAGAAGTGAATTCTTTCCCTCATCCAGTGACCCTGACTCGACTGGCCAGGACCCCAACATCAATGACAATCTTCTTGGCAATATCATGGCTTGGTTTCACGACATGAACCCTCAGAGTATTGCGCTGATTCCTCCGGCGACGATGGAAACCAGTGCCAGTTCCCAGCATCCCTGTGTCAAGGAGGCATCAGAAGGCGTGACACCACCCCAGGAAGACTCAGTGTTGGAAGATGCTGTTGTAAGTGAAGGTAGAGGAACCCAGATAGAACAAGAAAATCTTTTAGAGGAAAATATTCTGGCTGGAGAAGCCGCAACTCAAGCTGGCAACAGTGGTAACGAGATAGCCAACAAGGGGGATGGTTCAGATGTTTCCAGTCAAACACCTCAAACATCAAGTGACTGGCTTGAACAAGTACATTTAGTGTGAATCACACACCTTTGGGCTCTAGATGAGTGTCAAGTGCAGACAGTATACTAGGGGGAATACGCTTCATAGACTGATCCACTTAATTTCAACTCAGTTAGAAACCACTGACAGAAAGATTGGCTGACTAGGAAGGAGGAGTTCCCTTGGATGGTAGCTTCTTTGTTTATTTTTGACCTTACAGGAAATTTCTTTTATATTTAATTGGATATAGCTTTACCCCTTTTTTGCTTGCAAAATAGAGCAGGAGAAAAAGAGAAACAAAATGGAAGAAGTAGGTTATAACCCACATTCTAAGAAAATTCAGTCCTCTGCTTAGCCTAACTTGGCAATAGTTAAATTGAACGTTTAAATTAAAGGCTTACTCCCTAATCCTTGGGTGGTTTTTCCTTCATTTTATTTTTATTTTATTTTTTTAACAAAAGATTTTTCTTCATTTAGAAGTTCACATTGACAGTTCCTATAACATTTAGTTCCTCGATCTCTTTGTGCACTTCCATAACTTTCTTTTTGTTTGAGAAGTGTGAATTGAGGTATCTGATGCTTCTCTTTAGTGTTACATCTATCACAGTGCAATTCGTTTTAATTTTCACATGACTCCAAGATTTCTTTTCATGCCTATTTACAGTCCGATTGTGCCAAATTCTGACTAGTGCGCTGACTAACAAGGTGTTCAGTGGTCTAGAGTGCTACGAAGCCGTTTTCACCATTCTTGGGAGTAAAAGGTGCCGCTTGGTAGCATTGATATTTCAGAATTTAATGGGGTTTTGTTGCCATGGAGAGTGCATTTAAATAAATGTAGCCTGTAGCTTAAGTTAACTAAACCTAATGCTGCTGTTAAAAACAGTTTATTTTAATATTAAAACACAGTTGATTAGCAACAGCGGTGCTGTATTAAAAGAGACACTTTATTGGAAGTGCAATCATAGTTCCTTGTTGTCACACTTTTACAGTGCATTCTAATTACTATTGGGTGCAATTACTTTTAATGTAAGTGTTTTATAAAATAGAAAAAAAAGTGGAGTTTTCATGAGTTACAGTAAATCCCACAATTATTTTAAAAATTCAATAAAACATCTTGCGCAACATGTTACCGTGCCTTTGCCTAACCTAAATGGATAGTTGCCAGTTAGATAAGTGAGTAATTCAAATTTCAATGTCTCTTCTGAAGTAACTATGCTATGAATTGCAAAGACCTCCATAAAACCACCCATGGCCTTGCCTTTACAGTAAATATAACACCTAAATGTTCAATTGGTTTGTTTGCCTAAATAGCAAATGCTGAGATGTGTTTGTTCTATTGCACAATACTGTGTGATTACTGTTTAGTGTTGAAAACAAATCAGCTCCCTAGTTATCAGTGTCTTACTACTGTGAAGAAAATATTGGTCTTAGTTGTAATTAGGATACAATGGTACAGTGTGTAATTAAAACTAGAGTAAACTGTTGGAATGGCTGTTTTACTTACATAATATCAAAATTAGCATAACATAAGTAAAATAGATACACAACACTCCATTTAATATTTTGCCAGATTGTGATAAAAAATCTACATATACCACAATCTTAGTACCAAGTTTGTACAGGCAAGTCCTGCTCTGGATAAAAGGTTATATGTTAGTATTGATGATACCCACGTGAGTTGTGATTATGGTTTTTGATTACTTTTTTTTTCCCAGCCCCTACTTTTGAAATACTCGTATGCTTTGAATTTGTATGGCTAGGACATTATGTTAGAGTATTTATTAATTCCCAGGTCCCTGAGATAAACTGTGTGAGAATTGCTCCTGTGCCGTGGATATCACAAATCCACGTTTTCTTTTCCTTTCCCCAGTTATCAAAAGCATTGTTATCCCTATTAAAGTTAGTTGGGGAAAATATTAACTTTATCTACAGTGTATTACTGTATTAAACTGAAATAGTCCATTAAAGGATTTTTTTACAAATTTATTTTGGATTAAAAATATCCAATAGGAAGAGTGCCTGGATCACACTGGGACATCTTGCAAAGTTGCAGTAAGGTGCGAACGGGCCCTTGGGGACGATCGTGCACAGGGAGGGGCCTGGTTTCCTAGCGCCCTCTGCTGTTTCCTTTATTTCTGTGCTGTTCTCTCCTGAGCACGACAGTGGTCATTTTCCAGTTTGTATTTCCTTGGTACATATTTTAAAAACAACACAGTCATTGACTTTACACTTCAAAAATAAAGTTTGGCAAAGCCTATTTTGTAAACAAGTTAATTTTATAATGTTAAAAAAAAAATGACTCTAACCTTGACTTGTTATTTGCACTTTCATAGTCTATACTTGATACATTCCCACTTTATATACAGTAGGGTTCTACAAACGTATAGATGTTTGGCCAAATGAATGCTGTTAATGATATGTAAAATTCTTTGATTAAACATTTATTACTTAAACTACTTATTTTGTCTCATTACATTATGGAGTTTGTTAAATCAAATCAAAGAGCTGATTTTCTTCAAATTAAATTCCCTCCAACATGATGGGATTAATTTGGTTCTTAACATGTAATTGATTATTGCCTGATATTTTTACATTAGACCACTTACTTAGAATTGTGTATCCCTGTGAAACCCAAAATCACTATCTGATATTTTGTTAAGACATTGTGACTTAAGTTCTCTTTTTATTTTCACTATAGATTTCAGGAGCAAATACTGTGATTTTTTTTTTTTTCCCTTGAAATCTCTAACAGAAACATGAGAAAAATTGCTTTCAGATGTATTTTATGAAATTGCTTAGAGCAGGAAACTTTTTTATCCTGGATGAATAGACACACCTGCTTTTTACTATTCTGTCCCTTCTGAGTTACCAGAACAACCCTCAGCACCTGAATACCGTGAACTTGCATAGAACCCAGGCCATTGAAAGTCAGGCTGTTACATTGATGCCTTTTCACTGCATGGAGCCAGAGTAAGACTCCCAACGTCCCTGTGCTGGATTAGCCTGTAAATGTTTATTGCAGCTACTGGTCTCATTTTTTTTTTTCCGCGTTGTCAACTTACCTGTTACGAATTAAAATCTGAGACTTACTGAAGTTTGGTCATAATTTAAAAGCAGTTACAGTTAGTATATCCCAGAAGAGTGAAAGAAAAATTTAAATGTTTAATGTGAATACAAATTTGGGGGATTTTGAGACTTTGTTCATTTGTTTGGGGCCTAAAATTAAAACTCCGTAGAAAAAACATTTTTTCGTGCACTTGGCTTTTGGGCTGAGTGCTAGTTTTTTCTCAGTATTGATCAGTATATGGGCTTACTAATCTTCTCCTTAGCAACAGTATTTAACTGCCTTGTCGATAGTTATAACCTTCTGGAAAAATAAAAGTGGATCTCTCTATACTATTATATGGCAGTCTTTATTGTAAGAAATAAAAATGGTCCAGAACACATCTTTACTTCTCTGTTCCACTGAGGTGGCTTTGAGACTGAGTGGTGGCCAAACGTCTGAAAAAATTCATTTTCTATCTTCGAGTCCATGATGTTGAAAATACTTGATCAGTCTTCATGCCACTTCTTAGCCTGCTACAGAGGGGTTTCAAATACAGTTCCTGGGGGAAATTCCATTCTTTTAATTCCATTATTTCTGTGGACTTTTACAGAAGGACCTAACCTGTGCAAAGCATCCATTTGTAGACAGGTTGAGATAGATAGAGGAACAAAACAATGTCTCTGTGGTTTGGGGAGTCTTCTTGGACCTCTGTGTGCCTACACATCTTGGGTGTTGGAAGACTGAAAGGCCCTGACCACAGTTTTACCTGGGTTTATGTAGCCAGGAACTTTGAGGACAAAGAGCAGTCTTAGTAACTGTTTGCTATAAAAGCAGTATTTTCCTCCTGCATGGTGTTCCTCAGCTGCAACACAAACCCATTGTGTGTTTGGCATACATTTGGGCCGATTGCATTCCCCGGTGAAGCTGGGGAGGGAGACCAACACAGTAAGTTGACGCCCTTGCTGCTGCCGTGCCATGAGTGTTAAGCCATTTGCCTCTGACCCTGGAAGTTTGTGTCTTCTGTCAGCATCCATGAAATTGCAATAGGTTGACTTGCTGGTAGGGTAAATCCCAGACCTGACAGTTTGGGCAGCAAAGGTGGGATGATGACAGGTAAGATTTTCTGGACAAGTAACCAGGGAACCAGGTTCAGGACTATGAGAAGACTCCCCGGAATCTGGTAGGAGATGGGTAAAGAGGTGTTGGGAAGTACAGAATTCTTCACTGTCTGACCTGTTAATGAACAAGAGAAGAATTAATGTCTAAAGGCCTAGTATTGAAAGTTGTGATTGAAACAAGCTTCCCAAATAGTGGCTTCCTTGTAATTTACTCCTCTAGACAGGCAGAGCTAAGAAGAGATGTTTTCATGACAAGGTAACAGCAATTCCTGTGGCGCAGCTGAAAGTGTATCTGGGTTGCTGAGTCAAGGAGTCCCCAGCCCTAAAATAGTGTGAGCAGTGAAGACTTGGCTGTGCATGAGAAAAATGAGAAATGTACCTGGTTGTCCTGCAAGCAGTTGCAGGCCTTTCCAGTGTGAAAGCCTTACCTAAAAGTTCAAAGCAGGCCACATTCACAAGGCCCTGGTCCCTGCCACAGCCCACTGAGCCAACAGCAAAGACTAGAAATGGCAGAAAGTCTCAAGAATCGTAGACTGGAACGTGATGGTGTGCACAGCATCAGCAGGAAAGACTCTCTGCCCAGGTTCTCTGGATGCTGAGGGAAAACACGACAGTTGGTACCATTGTTCAGGTGAAGAGGAGGAAAGGTCTGTGTGTAAATCAGTTTCCTGGAGGCTAATCAGCCCCAGATGTGGCCTTCACAGGCCACTGGTTGAGAAGGAACTCCCGACACACCCATTTCAGACTCCTCCATCTGTGTTCCTGTAGGGGAAGAGGGAGTGAAAGTGGCCTTGTGAGTGGGACTTCGTAATGTGCTTCAGTGTAATGTGGCTTCCAAATCTGAAGGTACCATGGACTTAGCTGTCTCAGCTGTCAGGCACCTCCACAGGGGCACAGGTGCTGGTGTCTCTCCTTCCCCCAGCAGCATTACTGGGCTGGCCTGTTTGGTCAGCCCTTTGGGCAGTAGCCTGGCCAGGGGGAGTCAAATTCAACTCTGAATTCTCTATAAAGTGGAAATTTTCTGTGCAGAGTTGAGAAGTTTGTTGGATGAAAAAAGTTCACTGAGTGGGAACTAAAATGTATTTTTGACAACAAGCCACACGAAAGTAAAGGGATAACTTTCTCCTTTAGAGCAGGGGTCAGCAAGCTTTTTCATTGAAAGACCAGATAGTGAATATTTTTGGTTTTGTGAGCCATGTGAACGCTCACAATTTCTGCTCAAGACACAGTAGCAGCCGTAGGCAATGCATCAACAAGTGGATATGGATGTTTTCCAATAAAACTTTATAAAAGCAGGTGCTTCCAGAAAGATGGCCTATTGCTGAATTCTACTTGAAGGAATCCTGGTGTGGATAGACAGTGGACTGCTAACCGCAGGGTCAGCAGTTCAAACTCACCAGCTGCTCCTTGGAAACTAAGCAGGGTTGCTGTGAGTCAGAACCAAATCAATGGCATTTCACAACAACTTGCTAGTATTTTGTTAAGAAATTTTTGCATTATATTCAGGAGAAATGTTGGTCTGTAATTTTCTTTTTTGTACTATGTGTGGTTGAGGTATTATCATGACTTGATCTGTGTCCAACAAAGTTTGTGTCAGCTTGGGTTTGTCATGATTCTCAGTGGCTTGACAGTTAAAGTAATGATGTAAATGTGGCAGTTATATCCCCATGATGTAATCCGATGTGACAAACCAGTAAGAGAATTAGGGGTGGGCTGCAATGCCCTTAAGACCATTACAATCCTGACCTGATATAAGGGAGTTTCCCAGGGGTACAGCCTACAACATCTTTTACAAGAGATAAAAGGAGAGAGAAGTAAGCAGAGAAGACGGGACCTACTACCACCAAGAAAGAAGAGCCAGGAGTGGAGTGTGTCCTTTGGGTCCCTGCACTGTGAAACTCCTAAATTCAGGGAAGGATTGATGTCAGGACACATGGAGATCTCTGAGGGATTCTGGGCCTACAGATGCTGAAAGGACGCAAGGACCTGTCTCCACAGCTGGCACTCTGATTTTGAACTTCTGTTCTCCTAAACTGTAACAGAATAAATTTCTGTTTGTTAAAGCCATCCACTTGTGGTATTTCTCTGATAACTAAGACAGGTGTCAACATATCTGCATAAATAAATTAGGAAGTGTTCCTTTCTCTTTTATTATATAGGATGAATTACACACATGACCAAATGGGAGTTTATTCCAGGGATGTCAGACTTTTTCAATATTTAAACATCAATCCTTAGTATCCAGTATATTCACAAACTAAAGGAAAATCACATCTTCCTATCACTTGATACAGAAAAAGTCCTGGATCAAATTCAGCATTTGTTCCTAAGACCTGTCAGAAGAATAGAATAGACAATGTTATTGTTAAGTGCTGTTGAGTTGGTTCCAACTCATACCCTGTATAGGGTTTCTGAGGAGCAGCTGGTGGGTTTGAACTGTCAACATTCTGGTTCACAGACCAGTGCTGATCCTATAGTGCCACACCAGAATCCAGAATGAAAGGTAGCCTTCTCAATTAATAAAGAACATCTACTACACTTGATGGCAGTTCAAGCTCACCAGCTGCTCCTGGGAAACCCTATACAGGGTCGCTATGGGTCAGAACCGACTGGTCCACACTTCACAACTACACTTGATAATATACTTAATGGTAAAAGACAGTGCTTTCCCCCTAAAATCAACATGGAGCCAAAGTCTAGCCAGTGTAATATGGAAAGAATAGGAAATAAAAGACATACAGATCAGCAAAGAAAAAGTATAACTCCTTATTTACCGATGACATGATCATCTACATAGAAAATCCCAAAGATTCCCCTAGAACTAACATGCATGTTCAGTAAAGTCGCAGGATACAAGGTTAGCATATCAACATCAGTTTATTTCTATGTACTAGCAGTAGATACCTGGATATTGAAATGAAAAATTGAGCACCATTTACAGTTGCTAAAAACTTACTTAAAGGCAAAGCAAGCATATTGTTATAACTTGGGAGTCATGTACTGAACTTGTATCCTGAAAACTACAAAACATTGATGAAAGAAATCAAAGACCTAAATAGTCATAATGGATTGGTAGACTCAACAAAGAAAAGATGTCACTTCTGTCCAAATTGATGTATAGGCTTCAGGTAACTTGTTTAAAAATCCCAACAATTTCTATTTTCTAAAAATAGACAAGATGGCTCTAAAATTTATACAGAATGGCAAGTGAACTAGAATAACTAGAACAATTTTGAAAAAGAATGTGGCGGAATTATTCTATCCAATGTCAAGGCGTTACATAGCCACAGCAGTCATCACTGTGGTATTGTCTGAGACGCAGGCACACAGATTTGTGAGCTTGTATAGAGAACCCATAAAAGGCCCCACGCAGGCATCAACTGATTTCTTAACAATAGAGGGAGGATAGTCTTTCAAGGACTGGTGTTGGAACATTTGGATACTGATAGGCAGAAATAGGAGTCGAACTAACCTTCACACCTTTTACAAAATAAAAAGATTGTGTAATAGATTTCAGTGTAAAACTATAATGCTTTTAGAGAAAAACAAATGTTTGGGATCTAGGACTAAGCAAAGAGTTCTTGGACTTGGCACCAAAAGCATAATCCATAAAAGAAAAAATGGATAAATTTGACTTCATCAAAATTTTGAGCCTTTGCTCTGTAAAAGGCCCTATGAAGAACATGAAAAGACAAATTACAGACTGGAAGAAGTGTTTACAAGCTACCTATCTGACAAAGGATTCCTATCTAAAATATATAAAACACTCTCAAAACAGTGAAAATCCAGTAGAACAAGGGCAGAAAACATGAAGAAACAAACATCTTAGTGAAGAATATAAATAAGCTCACGAAAAGATGTTGACTAATCCTATCTACAAGGGAAATGCAAATTAAAACCACAGGGAGATACCACTACACACCTATCAGAATGAGCTAAGATAAACAGCATCAACACCAAATGGTAGTGAGGATATAGAGGAACTGATCTTTGATACATTGCCGGCCAAAGATAAACTGTCATTCTAGGAAAGTGTGATGGTGGTGGTGGTTAAGTGCCATTGAGTCACTTCTGACTCATAGTCACCCTACATAGTTTCCAAGGAGCGACTGGTGAGTTTGAACTGCTGGCCTTGTGGTTCAAACCAACCTCGCAGTCCAGACTTCTGGGAATAGAGTGATAGTTTCCTAAAAATCTAAGCATATACTACTATAGGACCAAATACTTGCATTCTGGGGCATTTTTCATAGAGAATTGAAAACTTGGGTTCATATAAAATGCTGTACACAATAGTTCATAGCAACTTGTATTTAAAAAAAACAACAACTGGTAAACATTACTCCACGGCACATAACAACAACAATAGTAGGTGAATGGTTAACTATAGTACATTCTTGTGATGAAATTCTACTCAACACCAAAAAAAAGAATAAACTTCGGCTATATGCAACAACTTGGATGGATTTCAAGTGAAAAAAAAGCTAATCTCAAATGATCACATACAATATGATTCTGTTGATATAAACTCCTCAAAATGATAAACCAGTTAAAATAGGAACAAATTAGTGATTGCTGGTAGTTAGGGGTTGTGGGGGATAGAGAGGTATATGTGACTATAAATGGATATTCCTGTGGTAGAGGAACCCAGAAATATGAATCTACATATGATAAAATCACAGAACTGTATGGACTGTAACAAAGTCAATTTCCTGATTTTGATATTGCACAAGTAGTTTTAGTCTTAAAACATATTCAGGTTATGAGGGACTACACTTAAAATGTCAGGGTTTTAGTTTTTTGCAGTGGGTTTTGTTTTTTAAACATCATTAGTTGTTGCACATATCTTTAGTAATATTGCTATACACAGCATTATAGTATGAAATTTGCTGATGCTATAATTTCTAGATTGCCAAAGACAAATTGTGATCAGATTTATAAAGATAATGATAATAAAAGGCAATAATACCCGCCATCCTGGAGATGAGAGAGAGAAGAGGACAGGCTTGTTGCTCTGAAGTGTGGTGAGACTTGAGGACTCTTGAGCCCATGGACAAGGACCTAGCCTCAGAAGGCTAGAGCTGAGAGTTAAGGGTCCAGCTGATATGAAGTGAGGGG